AAAACCGCCGGTAAAGAGCATTTACAGGTCATCTACGGTGGACCGGAAGGGGGAGATTCTGCTTCCCAAAGGAAGAAGTGGGGGCGAGAACTCTACGTGGGGACGGTAGCCCTCAATCCCCGGTCAAAACAAGCAAGACGGGAACCGATCACTTTTACTGACCGGGACCTCCCCGCCACCGGAGAAGATCACAATGACCCCCTGGTTATAACTATGGACATGGGTGGAGTCGATGTCTCCCGGGTACTCGTTGACACGGGAAGTAGTGTCAACGTTTTGTACTTCGATGCATTTGAAAAGCTCAAGTTGTGTCGGACACGGCTTGAGCCCTTAAAGACTCCCCTGTCCGGGTTCACCGGGGACTCTGTTGAAGCTGAAGGGTCAATCCTTCTTACTTGTGAGTTAGGCACAGGGGACCAGGTCGTCCAGAAACAAATGAGGTTTGTGGTAGTGAACATCAAATGTGTTCACAACGCCATCCTAGGCCGACCTGGAATAAACAAGGTCCGTGGAGTCATCTCCATGGCCTACCTCTGCATGAAATTCTATACCCCGGGCGGTATAGGACAGATCAGAGGAGATCAAAAGAAGGCCCGACATTGCTACTTGGAGGCCGTAAAGAAAATGACCAAGGCATTTGAGAGAGTCACTTTGGTCTCTCAGGAAGAAGAGCGGTCGAAGCTAGAGCCGGGCGATGAAACCGAGCAGATTGTTCTCCGAGAAGCCTTCCCAGAAAGAATGGTACGGATCGGAAGAGATCTGCCCGGAGGACTTCGAGATGAAATCATCTCAGTTCTTCGGGAATATGCAGATATTTTCGCTTGGAGTGTGGCGGACATGCCGGGCATTGACCGTTCTGTCATATGCCATCGTTTGGCTGTGATGGAAGGGAGCCGGCGTGTGAAACAAAAGAAGAGGCACTTGGCGATCGTCCGTAGGGACTTTGTGAAGAAAGAAGTCAAGGACTTGTTGGCGGTCGGGCACATACGGGAGGTACAATACCCGGCCTGGCTGGCTAACGTCGTCTTGGCTCCAAAAGGCGACACCTGGCGCATGTGCGTGGATTACACGGATCTGAACAAGGCATGCGCCATGGATTCATACCCGCTGCCCAGTCCCGATCAGATGGTCGATGAGACGGCCGGGTGTGAATTGCTCAGCTTCATGGACGCTTTCAAAGGTTACCATCAGATTTTCATGGCTGAGGAGGACAAGGAGAAGACTTCCTTCTTGACTCCAGAAGGCACTTATTGCTACCGGGTGATGGCCTTTGGACTAAAGAATTCGGGCGCCACTTACCAAAGGATGGTGAACCGGCTTTTTAAGCCACTCCTCGGTAAATCCATGGAAGCTTACGTGGACGATATGCTGATCAAAAGCCCGGGCGCAACAAATCACCCGGCTGATATGAGGCTTTGCTTCGAGATTATGGCTAAGTACAGCTTGCGTCTCAATCCCAAGAAATGCGTCTTTGCTGTAAAGACCGGCAAGTTTCTAGGGTTTATGGTGATCAAGCGCGGTATTGAGCCTAATCCGGAGAAGATTAAGGCCATAACTGAAATGAGGTCGCCCAGTTCGCTGAAGGACGTACAACGACTTACCGGGCGGCTAGCAGCCTTGAGCCGTTTTCTCTCCCGGTCTGCTGAAAGGGCTCTGCCTTTCTTCAAGGTGTTAAAGAAGGCCAACACATTCGAGTGGGACCGGGAGTGTGAGGAAGCTTTCCAGCAGCTGAAGGAGTACTTAGTCTCTGATATTGTTTTGTC